TTAGTGCTCACTTTGAAATATTTGATTAAAATTTTTGAAAAAAACTTACATATTTTACGGAGTACATATATTTCACTTTTCTTATATACAGCGTGTATCTTTTACATTCTCTACGTAGTTTCCAACAGTCTATGTTTTACTGCTTAAAAAATTTATTTTAGAGATGAAGAAAAAGAAGAAAATGTTTGAGCATTCCAGCTGCTATTGTCTAATAACAGACATTTTTAATGTATACAAAAGAAAAACATAAAAAAAAAGGGTAAAGAAGAACTAATCGTTTTTCTGATTTTAAAGGGTTAATTATGGTACTATCGGGGTCTTTTGATTATTGCATTGTGATTACTGACAAAAAGATGAATTTATGCTTACTGTCGAAGAATGCAACAAGCTGCATTTTTTTAAAAGCTAATTTGCAATTCAGTTCAGTTTTACAACGTCTAAAAATTATTGTCGCTGTCATTGAAAAGTTGCTTATCTGAACACAACGCAGTATCTTCAGATAAAATTTCACAGTCTTATCAAACAACTGCTTAAATAGCGTTTACCAGTCGCAAGCAGTGAAAACACAACTGCAAAAATCTTTAAGTGTAAAACTTCAAATAGAAAAAAAAAGAAAAATTTAAATTAATTGTAAAAATGAATAAACGTAATATTGTTGAAGCAAAAATTAACTGAAGAAGTTTTGATGATTACGGTCAACAAAGAATGTCCTTTATGCAGTGTCGATGGTCCCGAATAGAAGAATGGTCGTGTTTTTAATCATCTATCAAAATTAGGAGCTTTAAAAAATAACAACACATCGTACACCGTTTTATCAGATACAGTTTTTTTTTGAATTTTAACATAATTACAAAAAATTGCCAAAAAGTTCAGTGTTTCAACTTAAAAGGAATTATTTATTACATCTTTTCAGAATTATACCATTTTTTTACCAAACTGATATAAATTTTAAAAGCTGTTTTACAGCAAAGGTTATTTTTATATCGGCTAAACTTCTTCATCAGGCGGATGACAGATTAGGCAATAGTATTGCAGCATATTCTGGCAAGACCTTTGTATAAACAGGTAACTCTCTTTGCAGCTATTCATCAGTTAGAGAATATAAACTCAAAAGACAATTTTTTTTCCAATAACAACTATGAAAAACAAATTGCTATTCTGAAAATTTTACGAAGTCAAAAAAATTCGGTAGAAGGAATAATTTTAAATGAAAATGAATTATATGATTTTAGAACGTTATCACACATTCATTAAATGTATGAACGCCTGTTGTGCATTGCAGAGACCATCGATCAGACCTCGTAGTGAACACTTTTTCAACTTTTATCATCATTACCTCTCATTTGCAGTAAGGTTTACTAAATCAACAGAAGTAGCCTGTTCGAAGTTTTAAATAGCCAAAATAAAGTATTTGTTTTTCAAAAACAAAAAAGTAAATTTTATTAGGTCCGCAAAGTAGCAATTTTTTTGAACTGCATCTCAGGTTCTTTGGACTTCATAATAACGGCAAAACTGTCCTTTTTTTCCCAAAATATAAGTTGTAGATGATGAAATTCTCACATGGCGTTCAAATTTTTCCAAACACAAATACATTGGCATAAGTGATTTTTCAAAATGAAAGGCTTCAGCTTTCAGAAGCGATGTACTCCGCAAAAAAATTTTTGATCAATGAATACTTTGATAATCGTTTTCTTGTCACCTTCTGTCACCCCTTACAACCTTATGGCACAATAATAAATATACTCTACCAGTTTAGTTTTATAAACTGATGCTGTGAAATTGCTAGCCATAGGGTCTTTCTTCAATTAACTAAGCATTCCGTATAGTCAAACTTTTGACTGACTAATTTTTAACTTGCGAGTTTAGGCGCTATAAAATGTCACTGGTTGAAGGATGGGTGCAAAGTTCCGGTGCGTTATGAGCAAAATTTCATTTGTCTGCTATAAGTGTGTTATCAAAAGTTGCTCATTCTACCAAGAAAACTTATTTTTAAGTAGACTGCCTTACGTAAGAAATGTAGCTAGAACAAAAAGTCATAGACATATGTGTAGTTAGTTGTATGCAAACAAGGTTAAAAGTCATGGAGAACCTAGACGCGTGACGTTTTCGTAACCATCGTTTCTGCAAGGCAACGACGTCACGAATTTCAAAAAGTTACAACCGCTCACTGTTCAGTACTGACCAACAGCTTATTTTAATCTCTTAAAAAATTTCGTGAAAAACTCATGTTCTCTAAAAATTGTGGCTTTAGAGCAGTGAAGCGGAGTGTCAAATGTCAAAAAAAATTGAAAGATTAAAGAACAGCAAATAAAAGAGGGAACATAGAAGCACCCACCACAAAGCGTTATATATAGAAGCAAAAAAAAAAGGAGAAAAAAGATAAGGCGCGTATCAAACGTCTAGGAAAGGTATCACTGTAAAAAGTAAAAACAAAATATATTTTAGTTGACTGCTAAGCAACGGTTCTGTTACGTTACTGTCCCCGTATGGGACACCGAGATGGAGTGCGATACTATTCGGCAATGGACGCATCTGCTGGACGTCTTACAAATGCAGCACTAACGCCAGTCGACGAGCGTTTGAAAGATAGTGGAAGCGAACAACGTGACGAAAATGACAGCGATCAATCTGGAAGCGAAAAAATGGAAACCAGCTGCCACGAACTTTCGGAGTTGACGCCGGATGGAACATCAGAAGTATTTGGTAATTCAACTAATCGGGCAAACGGATCTGGTCAAGTAAATGGAAATGCTTTAACTAAACATAACGATCAACTGAATCATACACAAGAAAACGGTATTGGTAAGGAGCAGGTTCTGAAGGATACGGATTCCAGATGTGATACAATATTTCAACAGACCGGTAACTCAGATAGTTCATCATGTAGACCAATTAAAAAACGTTATGCGCATGAAGAAACTGGGTTTTCAAGTCCAGCAGCAATAGTCCAGACACCAATATCCGATCCATTATCATTTCCATCGATTCGCCATTATCAGCACGCAATGAATCAGTGGGATTGGGCGACTGTTGACAGCACTAAAGTCCCAGTAATATTACGTGGAAATGAAAAATTTGCTGCTGTTCATATGGTGCAGCTAAAACTACTATCAAAATTTCCCCCAATATACCCTCCTGAATCACAAAACCCACCACTTCTTTCTCATAAAATGTCTGTCGTAGAATCCTGGATACTGAATTCAATTAATGCTGTTATTTGTAAATTTGAATATGGCTATCAGCTGTTCACTGCAGATGACGAACTTGTTCGACTGGTTGATGTTGAACGGTTTTACTGGTCTGTTAAGGTGTTCAACTTAAATCGGATGATTGAACAGTACAATCGACATGTGAAAACCATCCCAAAGTCGTTGTATTTGAATGCTACCATATCGCGTGTAAAAGATTACGTTGGAGCAGATTTACAGGTAACTTCTTCTTGTTATTCTTATAATCTGATTTAAGTGCAGCAAATAAGAAAAATAAGATGTTTATTTTCATAAATTAGCATTTCTTTCAAGTAAAAAATACTGAAAATTGAAGTCTTTTTCATTTACTAATTGTTGAGAAAGGAAATTTGTTGCTCTGCACTATTCTTTCTAGCAAAGAAATAAAATGAGTTTTCTGTGTTTTTTCTCATTGAGAAGAATGTCTTTTTATTTTTTTCACCTGTTAGGGTAAGCGATTTGATAGCTGCGTTGATTGACAGTCCAGACGTTTTGAGACGTAAAAAAAAAAATAAATAAATAAAAAAGCAGAATTTATTTTGGTTTACACCCTACTAAACTTCTTAACAACAGAGGCAGCAGTAATAACAGCAACATCAACTCAATTTTACAAGACTAATGATTCATTACTTCAGAACAATTTTACAAATTGTACGTACAGACGATTAACACTTTTTTAGTTTGTTTTAAAACTAATATCACTATTATATTTATCAGAAAACTTCTTACTCATATACGTAAACGCTTTTCGTCTATGCTTTATGATCTTAAACTACTGACCGGTAGTGAAAGTTTTACATATGTGCAGCAGTCCCCCAATGTTTAGTACAGCTCCTAAATACATATCCATATTTAAAGACTAAATCGTTTCTTACGGTTACAGTAAGAGGTCAACAGCAAAATATGCAATAAATATTTTTTGCTAATAAACTAAAGAATACAATAGTATTGTTTGAGTATTGTTTTAACTTGGTTAAATTCACTGGAAGAAGACGTTTCTTTTCAATATGGCAGAACAAGTCATTTCGAAAATAACGTAACGTCTAACTGGGCATATAATTAAGAGTATTTTTTTAGATATAAATTTTTCTCAAAGTACTTTGTTGTTGTTGTTGTTGTTGTTGTTATTATTATTGTTATTGTCGTTGTTGCTTTAAAAATGCAACTGTGTTGATCAAAAAATTAATCTGCCTTAGTAACGAAACAATAAACTGGGTCTTCAAAGAATACTCAGAAATTATTCAGTTTAGTAGCGCTTAGTGCGGTTACAGAATACTTTTTTCTAGAACACTTTCTGGTTTACATCACACCCGTGAAGTAAGCTGTTTAGAGTGACGCGCTTATCATCAGAGATCTCTTGAACTACTGTCACAAACACATCGCCTTATCAACCGCCGACTGGGTTTCGAAAAAAATAAAAAAATTCCGCAGTGAAAAAACAGCCAAACAACAAATTTATTTTAATAATGTGTGGAAAAGTTTTGGGTTTTTTTCCTCCTTCTGCCTTCCGTAATCATATTAGACCAAATTTTAAATGAAACATTTTTGAAGATTAAGCAAATTGAAAAATATTTCTTTTTCTTTTTTTCACCTTCGGCGTACTTCACTTCCTCCTACTAAAAGCTAATCTCCGGAAGTATTTGCTGTCAAAACTCAACAGCAGTTATTGGACTGCATGAAGTTACAAATTGACCAGACGAAGAGGAAATTTGAAGAGTCATATCCGTTGACTTCCTCCCGTATTAACCTTCCCATTTCGAGCTAAAACTGAAGTCTCATTTACACTTGAAGTTCACCATTCTCTTTTTGCTTGTTGCACAAAATCTTTCGATTATTTGCATTTTTTATCTTTCTGGTCATTGTTCTAGTAACTCAACTCCAAATTTAACAAATTCTGCACACCAGCTTGATCAGGACAACCTTTTTTCTGGGATCTCAAAGAACAGAATTCTTACCAATAAACTTGAGCAGGTACTTGCTCATCAGACTTAACCTCAAATATCAACCTCGTTTCACGTGTCAGACTGAGGCAGTGAAGTTAAAATAACAGAATTTTTGAGCGTCCCAACAGCAAATATCCTTGTTTTGATTATCAGACCTTTTATTGCCAAATCAACTAAAATGCTGAAAGAGGAGGTAACAGTCATCGTTGATTTGACATCTAATATCACCATGTAAACATCTACAAAACAAATGCCTGCAAATTTTCCAAAAGTTTTTTGTCAGATACTTTTATTTTACTACCATTTTGAAAACCAAAAATGCATTTTGGTTTAGCATTAAGTTGTTTGCAAATAATCTTTCAGCAGCTCTATTTCAAACAAACAGAATATTCACGTAATGTCTGGAATATTTTAGAGTTTGTTACGCTTATCAGTTTTATTTGTTGTACTTTTCCATAAGCACATAAGTGGTGATACAGATAGAAAAGAGCAAGTAAATATACCGAAACTGAAATAAACTATAACGTATAGTAGTTACTCTTTAACGCAAAAATTTTTCCCTTTACAACTTTTGAACTTTAAGAACTGTCATTCGATCAACTAACTAAGCACCTAACTAGCAAATCATGTTGTTTTTAGAATGCCGAAAAGGAAAATCAAAGGGTACATCGGAATTTTCCAACACAACAGCTTTCAGCCGAACAGGGAGCGTTTGTAACCAGAAAACTTCAACACTGAATCCGTTGGTTATATCGTTCAAAATAGCTACTTAGCAACATTTTTTTTCACTAAGCGGTGGAAATTTTAGTGAGAGTTATCAATTAGACAACTGATACAAAAAAAAACTGAGAAAAAAAAACAAAAAAAAAAGCTTTGCCTAAACTGTCTGGTCAAGAAATTGCAGTCATAAAAATTTGATCGAGGAACTGGGGGTATCCTAGAAAAGTGTTAAAAAAATTTCTTTACTTACTTAATGGCTGGAAAAAGCAATACCTGTCAAATTTGTTTACTTTATCTTTCAAATCCACCATTTTTTTCAATACTTTTTTTTTTGTTACCCGCTTTTCTTTGGCACTGCAGTTTTCAGATCATCTGTAAAGGATAAAGAGTAAGATTTGTACATTGAGTATGCTGTTTTGGCATTATTATTGGGTGGAAAAGAAAAAATAAATTAATAAATAAATAAATAAATTGATAAAATAAAATAAGGAGCCGCTAAATCATTTAGATGACCAATGTCCGATCTCTTCGACAAATCAGTCCACTTGATATTCGATGCCTATTTGTACCTTTCTGATTCATTGTGCTTTTCTTTCTGTCTTCTATAATTATTTATTTTTTTGGTTGAGACTTGTCCAACAACATCGCTGTTATATACGTTTGCGAATGCACCTATTGTCATCTGTTACTCTACTTGTTTACTTGCTAATTGCAAAAAAAAACCTTTTGAAATTTTTTTTTGTTTTCCACTAAAAAAGAGGAGGAGTAACAACAGAACAGAACTGTTTGTTCAAGAATATAGAAAACAACATTAAATAATCGAAAAGAAAGAGACCTGGTTTAGCTTCCTCCGCTTCCTCCTTCTTCTTGTTTTTGTTCCCGTCTTTTTTTCTTTTTATTGAATGATCACAGCGTTGATCACAATAATGACAATCAAAGTTACCGTCATTTTTCAAAAACAATCATAATGTTGCATCATAATGTTTTAAAGTTACTCAGGTTCATCCACTTTGTTATCTTTGTAGTGAATTTATTTGGAGCTTTGAACACGCTTTTATAAGTGTGACAAAAGGGAGTATTGTTCTGATTATAAATCCGTATCGTATGGATGCATCAGAATATGCATTATTAGTATCTATTGATCATTACCTGCATCTTCAAGACCTTTCTTGTTTCAGTTAAACCTTTATCGTGTTCGTTAGAAGCTCTTAAGCCACTGGACAAAGTAGCTACTTGATAAAAATTAAATGCTGACAACTAACAATTTGTACAACGGCTACGATACGTCAGATGTACAAGCCACATAACGAATCCAAAAGTTTATAACTGCATAATTTCCATAGATTAAAATATTAGCATCAACAAAACAGAATGATGTGTTATTAGTAGCTACTAGCTGCTGGTCCAAAACTAATCTTCTTCGTAACTGCGTTGAACTGCTTCATTAGCTGAAAACTACAGAAAATTAACACCGTCTTCAAGCAACCAGACAGCTCACTTTTGTTGCCAGCGTTACCAGCAAAAAAAAAAAA